TTTGCTGTTCTCCAGTCTACCAGTATCATGTCTGGGTTACTTCCTACCAGGTTTGGGATTTCATGTTCCTTTTCTTGTCAGAATTGTGGAATGGAGTTTACCTGATATCCTTCACTGGCCTGAGTGCACTGTGCTTTAAACTTTGCTTCTGGTTTGGTAATTTCTATGATCTTGAATTCTTTCCTATTATCTACCCTGTTTCCTCTGTGGTCAATATTACTGAAAACATACACAAAGTAGTCACTGAGTTTTTAATTGTAAATAGTTGTTTTTTTATTTCCACTGACTCCTCCTTGTATAGTAGTCCCATGCAGTCCAATGTTTTAATTGTTCTCATTTGCTTAACTGTGGGAAGACTGCTTTGCTGTTTGTTTCAATATCCATTCCAAATTGTAGTTCAATTTTCCTATTGACAATTTTCACTATAATTCATACTTTTGACCTCTAAAACATACCCATCTCTGCTGATGTCTTTTTGTTTCCTCTTGTGCCCTGCATTTCTCTAATATTCTTGAGGGAATTCTTTATTTGCGTGGAATAGCTTGACCACTTTCCTACACATTTTCTCCCCTCTTTCAGATACACATTCCACACTGCTTCATCAACTGTGATTTAAAGTAATTCCAAGACTCCTCCACATTCAAGACCTTAAATAGATCAGTCTATTTGATTTTACTAACAAGATCTTCTAGGTCTTGTTAGTAAATCTGCCCTTTGAGATATAAAGCCTTATTTTTACTGATTGTTCTATTTGATTTAAATGAGTAAAACTTGTGATCAGTTTTTGGACCGGTTTTCTCGCAGTATCGGTATTGCTTATTAGAACAACAACATCCTGGCTTGTATAAGAAGCAGTGTGGCCAGCAGGTCGAGGGAAGTGATCGTCCCCCTGTACTCGGCTCTGGTGAGGCCACACCTCAAGTACTGTGTTCAGTTTTAGGCCCCTTGCTACAAGAAGGACATCGAGGTGCTCGAGCGAGTCCAGAGAAGGGCGACGAAGCTGGTGAGGGGTCTGGAGAACAAGTCCTACGAGGAGTAGCTGAGGGAGCTGGGTTTGTTCAGCCCAGAAAAGGAGGCTCAGGGGCGACCTTATCGCTCTTTAAACATTAAAGAGTGATACATACATTTATGTATGTTTATACATTAAACAGCCCGCATTAAAGGAGGCTGTAGTGAGGTGGGGGTTGGTCTATTCTCCCTGGCAACAGGACGAGGGGGAATGGGCTAAAGTTGCGCCAGGGGTGTTTTAGGTTGGATATTAGGAAGAACTTCTTTACTGAGAGGGTTGTGAGGCATTGGAATTGGCTCCCCAGGATAGTGGTGGAGTCAGCATCCCTGGAGGTCTTTAAAAGACGTTTAGATGTAGAGCTTAGGGATATGGTTTAGTGGAAGACTTGTTAGTGTTAGGTTGGACTCGATGATCTTGAGGTCTCTTGCAACCTAGACAATTCTGTGATTCTGTGAAATACATTCATTTCTTGCTGGCTCATTACTGCTTGGTAAATATATGCATTAATTTGGCCCAAACAGATTCTGCTTGATCCATGCCTTTCTTTCTTATTAATTTGCCGTATTACTAGAAGACAACTACACAAGGTTAGTTATGTTTTCTTCACATCTTTCCTGGGTAACACGTACTCTTCAATACTTTGGTTCCTATATATATATATATATATATATATATATATATATATATATATATAATATATATTATAATATATTATTATTATATATTATAATATATATTCTATATATTATAATATATATATATTATATATATTATTATATATATATTTTTTTTATTTTCTCTTTCCTGATCATCCACTAGTAATTCTTCCAATATAGTTAATTTTCATTGACTAGGTTTTCTTCTCATTGAAGAAAACAGTAAGAAGGCATGAATCTCCACCAAGATTTCCTTGTGTTTCTTAAGATTTTGTTTAACAATCTGAATCTCAGTCCCATTTTTTTTTTCTATGGACATTTAACCAGATACCATTTCCATGAGCCTTCAATTTTAGTCATTTTTCCCTACCTAAAATGCAATTACTTACTGTAATCATTTTTTGTTTATTTCAGTGGGAATTTCATACATTTCCAACTGTGAAGTGAATAAAATAAATATCAAATAAATATCAAATAAAAGGATTTTCCTGCATTCTTACCAGAATCCCTTCCACCCACATCTTCCTTCTTGGGAAATGACCTTGCATCCTGATCTTTGGAACTGATCTGCTGACAACTTAGTTGTCTCTCTTTAACAGAGGCTCCCAATGCTTGTGGCCATAATTTTTTCTCTTCTTAGTCTACTTTGCCTTCTGTTTAGATATGATCCTTCCTTTTGTTATTTTTCCTCACAAACTTCTCTACCAGTTCAGTCCTGTTTGGATACTAGTCTCCAGTAATCTTTACTGGAATTAACTTTTCCACTTCCATTCTACTTTCTGTTGAGTTTTTATCTGTTGTATTTTTTCAGTATCCCAGATGGCAAATATATGCTTTAGCTCTCCTCAGTTTCCCTGCTGTTCCGTCTGTTCTTTTTTTCTCACAAGCCCTCTCACTCAACAAGTGTCTGTAAATCCTCAGTTGCCCCTTCAGTTTGCTTTCTCTTACACGTTTTCCTCAAATCGAAATCTTCATTCAACATTGCCTCCAGTCATATCTGTAGTAAGGTCTTCTCTTCATGAAGTCTATCAGATGACATTTCAGGCATACAAATCTTTCCAGAGAATAAGACACATCCCACAGTTTCTTCATCCAGTTTGTATTGTTCCTGTAATTTTTCATGTACCATCCACAACTGTCTGAATTCCTTACATAGCTGTTTCCTCTTACAGATAGTTTTAAGGTGAAAGTCCCTCTCGTTTTTTTCTTTCTGTCTATGGACTTCCCTGCTGCCAGTGGCATACGGGTTTGTGAGACTTAATTGTTATGCCATTATCAGCTTGCAGGACTGATGTCACTGATATCACAGGGTGCAGAGTAAGAGGAGTAAATTTGCTTCACAGTGCATCTTTTTCAAAGCCATCTATCAGCCAGGACACAGCTTTCCACAGCTATCATATACAGGCTTGGTATCAGGACTAGGCTTCTGAGTGCTCTGCTGGAGCCTAATTCATCTGTTATTACCTGGTGGGTAGTCATGGGAAAAACAAGTGAGAAAATAAGAAAATAAAATTTGGTGTCCAACGTGCAAGTAAGATATTACCAAAGAACACGTTGAGAAGTTCTAGAGAGTGCACAGGGAGGGATGGAGTTAAATATTACCTGGGTAAATATTTAGATGTACAGTGTAGTTTAAGAATCATCCCCCTCTCATACTAACATAATCAAACTTTCAAATCTTCCAAACCTTCTTCAGTAAACTGAGCACATTTCTCAGAGGAAGCACTTGTTTATGGAGCTCAGGCAGACACCAATAACTGTGTCACATAGCATTTATTAGAAAATCTAAATATATTCTCCTCTACTTTGTCCAATATCTATGTGATCATTTATCTGCAGCAAATTTTACTGTAAATGTGATTATTTCCGAGAAGCAATTTCTCATGACTAGATTAAGTATAGTACTTACCATATATTGTGTTCAGAAAGAAGCATCATTTTGGAATCTGTATTATAAGTAAATGTCAGGATCCTGCAGAGAGAACTCTATGGGCTTTACCCCAGAACTGTAGCTCATCAGCAGGAACACAACATACACTTGTTGGATTCAGTTCAATTTTCAAATAAACTGGAGACAGAATTTAGCCCTTGTCTTTATGGGCAGTTTCAGGTTATTGATCTCTGAACAAGTGATATTTTATAGAAGACATGTTTCCTACAGGCCAAATTTCAGCTTAACTGTTTTAACTGCCAATATAGGAAATTTTGTCCCACCAAATCTCACCAAATAATATTTCTGAAATTATATTTATGGCATTCATTCTAATTTTTGACCAGTGGTGAAGGGGCATGTGACCAGCTGTCTTATTTGCTTTCCTGACTTTTGGGATAATTTCTAAGTAGAATGACTACATGTGAAGGTTCACAAAATTCTATATTATGGTGTAAGAATAAGTTACTGGAAGTACTCTAAACAAAAGAAACAAAGTTTAGTTTTGCTTCTTCTTGGATTGAATGCAGGTTCAAGAGGGTTGAACACAGAATCATAATTCTCTAATCAGCTTAAGTACTGCATTTAAATCAAATCAGGAATGTGCAACAGGTAATGTTTGTGGTATTTATGGTAATAAGGGAGAAATTCTGAAGTGGTTGAATGCAAATTTTTTGTCTCTCTTTTGTCTTGATAGATTTTAGATAACATTGAAAACTGGCTGGAGCACACACCAGCTTCTGTCCGTGATCCCCCCAAACAGAAGCAATTGAGTGCAGCCTTCCTTTAACTATTTTAAAGACACCCGCACACTCACAGATAATAAATTTGTCAAAGCATACTTGGAAATATCCCATCTCAGTTTGTACAAATTACTCTGATCAAAATATTTCCATGCTTAAAATCATTTACCAGGGTTTACCAGATTTATAAGCATTTGAGACTTGCAGTATAAAACCCTAGCTGCATGACAGAATGAGTTATTAAGTGTTTATAGAAATCTGATCAAATGGACCATCAGAAGTTGGGGGGGTAGGAGGGAGATCTGTTATAAAGTCGACCATAATGACAGCTTTCCTCATCTTACAACTGTGACATGAAGAGGGAGCTGTAGCTCTTCTGAGACTCAGCTCTGCCTGAGCCAGTGTACCCAGCCAAGCGCCCCGATCTCCTCTCTCCTTCCTCGCTCTCCTTCGCTCCCCGCTTTCCTTTGCTCACTCACTTACTCTTCCTTTTTTTCGTTTTTCCTTTTTTTTTTTTTTTTTTTTTTTTTTTTTTTTTTATCCCTGTGCCCCTGTGCCAGTTAATTTAAATGTATCTGTTCAAGTGGAGATAATCCATGCAAATCAGAGGCACTGGCTCCCAGTGCTTGATTCACAAAGAGAACTCAGCTTCAGGAGGTCACTCGTTCACAGCTGCTCCTCCCATTATATTTTTCCCTTATTGCAGAACTGCTGCATGTATACAGTGACTGAAAGGACTCAATTTACTGCAACTGCTGCCTGGTTTTACTTACAACTTTCTTTAAAGGGAGACTTACCTTCCATCAGTCTTACTAAGGTAGGAAGTCTGATTCTTCTAAAGACATGTAATGCCTCCAGTGTTTGCTCATTATCAGTTCCCACTATAATGATGCATATTGCTGTAAGAATTAGGTCCTAACAGAATTGTGCCAGGTGCCTAATGCTTTTGTTACTTGTATGTATAGGTGCAAGTGTTTAATTGGCTGTTTTTCTGTTTATTTAGCCAGCTATGTATCCCCCCACCCCCACACTTTTCCTTTTCATAACAACAGCAGGTATGATCTTAGCATAGCAGCTCTCTAATCTACAAATGTAATCTTCACTCAAGTTTGTATTTTCTTTTTAAAATGTCTTCTAATGTGTATGTAAGTTACTGCAGTGATCTGTACCCCCCAACAGAAAACAGCATCACGAAGGCTTTCTGGTCTGAAACCTTATTAAGGTGCTAACTTTGGAGCAGAACAAACTGTTGAAAGGTTTTAAACAAAAATAAAAAGGTCACCTTTTACTTTGCAGTGTTGTAAACAGGGAAACTCCAGGCCTGACTGCAAATGGGCCTGTCATAAATTTAGACCACAAGATAAACATATTGTTAATAGGACTGCCAGCAGAAGTAGTGAAATGGAACCCTCACAGTTCTGTGTTAATATCTGTTGTTTAGAGAGGTTGGACAGGCAGAGCTTGCTTTGCAAAGTACAACTCAAAACCAACGGTTTGGATATGATTCTTAAAAAACTCCTTAAGAAAAGGAAAGTCAGGCACTACTTTATTAGCTACATGGCAACCTTCAGCATCTGCCACACGAAATATTGAAGTAATGTATCTGAAAATACACCCTGGTTTTCTGAAACTGGACAGTAAATCTTTCATTTATGTGTGTATATTTCTTTGAATTCGTTGTCAGAACTTTGGAATGCAAATGATTAAAATAACTGTAAGAACAACTTTTGATATGTTAAACCAAAACAAATTATGGATTTGAAGAGCACTACAATAAAAAAATAAAAATAAATAAAATAAAATAAAAACACAGAATTATTTTGACTTACACTTGTTCCAGAATAAAGTTCTTGTTTGTTTTCTTGCACAGCTGGAGTTAAGAAATAACAATGATTAGATCTGGAGCCACCCTGCTTTTTTATAGACTTACTATCTAACACATCCAAGTTAATCAAATAACAGTTCTGTGAAGCCTTAGACAGAGCCTACAATGAAAATTTAGTTGGCCAGACAGGACAGAGGGGCATAGATACTCTCAAACGTATCCTGTCTAATATCTGCAAGAAGACTTGAGGCATAAATTTTCAGTTTTAGGCATAAATTTGCAGTTTTACCATTCTGGATTGGATATTTTTAGTTAGCTTGTTTCAGGAGAGAGTACTTACTCCCTAGACAAAGTATTTCAGTGCCTAAACTGTGTATCTTTCTTTTTGATATACAGTGTGCTTTTTGAAAAAAAAAAAAAATGCATTCAGCTTTTGGAGTACAGTACAAACCTAGAGAGCCTTGTCATTGTTAGCATAAAGAAGACATCTACACAAGTATTACTGTGCAGGGGGCAATTTTTCTTTCTCTGGCATTTGTTAGGTTATTGTACATAGAATTTAGCAGATAAATATCGTTTGCTTCATGGCATTTTGGAGATCCTATTGGTATGCAGGTTACCCTGTGAGGATGGCAACTGAAAAAAAAAAAAAAAGAAGTATGTTTTATAGCTGTGTGTAATAAAAGCCCTTCACAATGATGTAAGTGGATTCTGACCTTTCTTTCTTATCCTGTAATTAGAATTTTTATTAACTCTTTCAAGTGCAGAGTTTTTTAAGTATATTGATGTTCCCAAGGGAGAACAAATATGTATTTTGATCTAAGAGTTTTAAAAGTAAAATTTTAGAATCCTTTCTAGGCAGAGAGAAAGAAATATATTCTTGCCACCAACTTGCACCACGCAAAGAAACTCTGATTTATGGGAAGTTATTCTGCCTCTCCACAGAAGGAAAAAATTATATATATTAAAAGGACTTTACGTTTTCAGAAAAAGGAAGGGAAGGGTATCTGAAGTTAAGGAAAGATAGTAAGGATCTTTTGTTTGACTGAATCTCTGGCCAGGATAAAGTTGGGAAGTAAAGGTGATCCCTGTGGTGTTTAGTGATGTACAGTGATGAGATTAGATGACTCACCAATGGAGATATGAAAAGGGAGAAATAGGTCTTTCTGAGGTAGATTTTTTTGTAAGTGGATTAAAATATTGTTGCAGCAGACAGTTATTTCCTGCTTCCTTTCCACCTTTTACCCAATGCATTACAGGGACAAAAGTGTTCCTTAGTGAGTCATCATCAGCATTTCATACAGTTATTTCCAAATTATGTACTCAATTCTCCTTGTAAGTTCACCAGGTTTACTTGTCATAACTCAGTTTAATTCTTTGATACACAGAAATAAATCAGAAGAAATCAGGTGTTTTATATTATTTAGGTCTCTAAATGTATTTTCAGCAAACTCTCAAAGGAGTGAACCTTTATGTTTCATTTCAGGCTAGTTGGTACTATACAGTTTCCTAAAGAAAATTGTCAGTGTCTTTCTATGACCAGTTCCTTTTTTTCTGTTGGTGCGTTTTTTTCCCCTGCCTCTACAAACTTGCCATTGCTATAGTAACTCAGTCAAACATCTCCAAGTTACCTTACACTCCACTGTACAGAGCTTTCCAACAGAATCTATAAGATGTGGTAAACCTTGTAGCTTTATATAGTTCAGGGCTCTTACTTCCACCAGGCTCTTTTCTGCTGGTTTTACAGAAGACACTTAAAAAGGTAAATTACCATCTTAAAAGGATACTACAGAGCTTTTTAATAAGTTCCATCCAACTTCTCAAAGGCCTTAGCTTCTCTCAGCTCTAAACAAGTACATTTGCTGAGTTATACCTTAAAAATATTCTAGAGAAGGCAGAAAATTTGGGAATCCTAAAAAGTGAGTGATAGAGCCTTTGAGAAAATGTACAGCTATAAATGGGAAAACTCATCAAAAACTCGTCAAAAAATTGTCAGCAAAGTCCTCGGTCAATGATTTGTCATTGTTTTTTTTCTATAACTGCAGAGAAAGAATACGTTCCTCACAGCTTCTCATCAAATCCTATACACAATTACGTCATACTCTCCTTTTATATCATTGCCTTGTACTGTAGAGTACATTGTTAAAATGTAATGTTTCAGAGTACAGACCTTGCATTTCTTTTGCAGATAAAGCATGCTTATACCTCTAGGGGTTAAAAGCTGAATCAGATCCGTAACTCGCCTACTGACAGCCTTTGAAGTCGCTCCTTATTTATTTATTTATTTATTTATTTTGGTCTGAAGGTTTAGATTGACATCCTTTTGTATGTTTGGAATTCTTCAGCAGATGTAAAATGCTTGGTAATGACTTAAATTAACCTGAGGCTTTATATATCCATCTTCCCCAGGAGCTCCATTGAAGCTTCAGTAACAGTTGAGGATTTTATGCAAACAGCTATTCTCATAAGAACATTTTATTTTTCTGTCCTATCGCATTCCTTTTATTATTTCTAGAGGGTTTTTTTTAAGCAATGTTGGACACTTTCTGCTTCCCTCTCTCCCCAGTACCTGTTCTGGAGAGTCTACATGAAAATTTTTACAGCTGAAATGCACCAAAACAGGGGCAGATAAAACGAAAATAAGTGGAGTGGAAATGAATCTTTAAATGGCAAATCTGTGAAACACTGAACATGGTTATCTGACGTTATGTCAGAGAGTGTTATCTCTTGAGAAGAAATGAGCAAGAGCAGTCCACAAAGGAAAAGTAATTGTTGCTTTACTTCTGTCTGTTTATTTGGGATAGCTTGAACTGTCTCCCCCTTTTTTATTTCTCTCAGTGTGAAAAGATTAACTATTAGAAATGCAGTCAGTAGGCATCTGACTCAAAAGCTATGCTTATTTGACCTTTGGACACAAAATATCTAACACAAAAAAATATAAACAACCTCAAACATCACTGAGTACAAGCAATATGCAGAATGTGGGTCAGTAGAAATTCAACACTTTTAAAACTAAAAATAACAAAACCTTTGAAATGACTTGGTTACATTAGCATTTCTTTCTCCATTTCACATCAGAATATCAGACGATGAGTTTTGTCCAGTGTACCTGAGGCAAAAGATCTGTGGTGAAATTCAGCATTAGTTTCAATAACAGAGATAGGAATGTTACGGAGAGGAATAAAGAGAAAAAAGATGTTTAACCAATACATAAATATTTCTGAAAGTTAGATTTTATAATTCTACAAAGAGTACATATGAATTAAGATGAATTTAAAGTCTGCATGATGCTGCCACTTACTTACATAAAGGTTACAATCATTTTATAAAGAACTTTACTCACTGTCTTAATTCTGATGGTTTGGTTCGTGTTTTTTTTTTTTTTCATTTGTTTTTTTAACCTTAGGGAGAATGTTACAGGAAAATCTATGGATGTGAATGGATTAACCTGGATCCCTCAGTAACTAGCCACTATTTCTTAATTCTGTTCATACCGAGTTATGAAGGAGGAGGGCAGAAGAAACAACATGTGTTCTATGTGAGGCAAAGGACTGAAAGAGGGATGAAATTTCTGTCTCTGGGGAAAAAAAGCTAGTTGCAACAGGCCACTGGAGCCAGGACTTAGGTATCTGAATTGCCTCTATAGAAAAGTTTATGACTTAGAAACTGCATGTTAAGGAAGAAAATGAAATGCTTGTTCGAGTCAAGTAACAGAACCCATGTAGTTTCTGTTACCTAGTCTTTGAATTAGCAGTGAGTTCACAGAACAATAGTAGTATAATGTTAACTGACAACCTAAAATTAAAAATAAAAAAGAAATTACAAAATTTGCTCCATTGAACCTGGGAGTATATAATTCCTGTCACCTTCCCAGCTGAGGCAATAATGGTTCACTTGGAGATTACAAGGGAGATATATTAAGTTTTTCTGATTTAAACTTCATTTTTCCTGTTGAGTCCAAACTTGGTCACTGCAGAAAAAGCCAGCTAAAT